AAAAAAAAAAAAAAAAGACTATGGAATGCAGAACCAGTAGATGGTATAATGGTTACATCACTGGACTCCCATGTAGTTGACCGGGTTTGAGTCTCAACCCGGTGACTTAAAACTCATGCCAGGTGTGTGTGCTTGCATGTCCAAAATCCTGAGAGGAGCCTGGAGGAGATCACCCCCAGGGGGTGATGTCTTGCTTTCTGTCTCTGTTTCTCTGGCAAGTGAAACAGTGCTATATATCCCTATAGCAAAAATCTCTCTCAAAAAAAAAAGTCTATGGAAAATACAATTTATGAAAATAGTATGCATGGATTTGTGCACTAAAATAAACATTTACTCTAATTCCATTTTTCCACAAACTTTTTTAAAGTTCCCTTATATTTAAGTGGATGGTATTTGAATTGTTTGAAAAATACATCTCATAATTAGCATGAGTTAATTTACTTAACATAAATCACTTATTATTTATCTAGATACTAAAGAAAAAGACAAAACTTAAAGTTTATGTTTGGGCATGGACAATATGAGCGGCTTATTATGACTTTAATGGACTATCAAGCTCCATTTTTCTGAAACCACATCGGTATTAGAAGAATAAGTGCAAGTCTCCAGCATCAGAACAGTGGCTATCTGCCTGCTATGGTAGATGGTAGATACTGAAAATAATTTAGAAAAGAAACTTTTAGTTTAGGTCACAGTCTTCTTTGAAAAGTTATGTAAAATCTGGGAACCAGCAGTTAGCGTAATGGCTATGTCGCTGGATTCCCACGTAGTCGACTGTGGTTCGTGTCCCAGACCCGGTGGCTTAAAATGGACAATATGAGCGGCTTATTATGACTTTAATGGACTATCAAGCTCCATTTTTCTGAAACCACATCGGTATTAGAAGAATAAGTGCAAGTCTCCAGCATCAGAACAGTGGCTACCTGCCTGTTATGGTAGATGGTAGATATTGAAAATAATTTAGAAAAGAAACTTTTAATTTAGGTCACAATCTTCTTTGAAAAGTTATGTAAAATCTTGTCCTCCTTTCTGGAAGGGCAGGAGATAATCTGCTTATATGTGCATGCATACAAATATTTATATATACAATTGATCTCGAATCAAAATAGGTTTAAAATACATAGGTCAGCTTATACTTGGATTTTTTAAATAATATAAATGTATTTGCTCTTTTTTATGATTTTCTTTTTTTCATAACATTTTCTTTTGAATACTTGCTATGTTTTAAGAATATAGTACATGTAAGTTATGTCTTTTTATGATCTTTCTTTTTTTCCATAATATTTTTTTTTGAATAGCTTGCTTTGTTTTAAGAATATAGTACATGTAAGTTATGTGTTGATCAATTGTTCATGTTAACAGTAAGGTTTCCAGTGAACACTAGGCTATTAATGGTTAAGTTTTGGGAGAGCAAAAGTTATAATGGAATTTTTAACCATGCAGATAGATGGTGTTGTTCAAGGGTCAACCATAAGAGAGTAGAAGTAAGGAGGAACTTAGAAGACATTATTGTTCCCAATTCATGCCTTCATCAAAAATACTTCAACTAGATTACAAAGGAGTGCTACCAGATTTTAGGGGAAAGAGCCTCCTCTATGGTAAACAATTGAAATTACCTTGCACAGAACAATATTCGGTTAGTAAAAGTGATTTATAATGGCAAGTGACTTTGTGGACCTGAGTTTAATAATCTTGTTAGTTTGCTCTACCAGACCTTGAGAAGAAATTGACATTCTTACCTTATGCAGTTATATTTGTCAAGTTCAAGAAATTTTGTTCAGTAAGTTGAACACAGATCCACAGTGGTCCATTACCTTAGTCAAATTTGCTTTTGTTTTCACACAGAGGATTCTATGGAATCCTTTTCCTAAAAGATCCTTTTCATGAAAGTAAACCTGAATAAAAGGATTTATAATACTTTTTGCAGACTTAGTTCATCTCAGATATATGAGTAGGCCTGAGACATTGCTTAAGCCTGGGAACAAGTTTCCTACCATTAGCTAGGCTTGTCTTTGCCCATTGCTCATATGGTCTGTGATTTGGCTAATAGCTGAGAGTTATGCATCTTAGTGCACATAGTTCTTAGACCTTGGTGATATTTGTAGAGTATCTTATAAGTACTCTTCATGAAATAATGGTATCCTCTCAGTAATTGTCCAATCTGCCTGAAAAACTTGTCTTCATGCTCTCCTAAAGGAGTAATATATTCTTTTTTTTTTTTTTCTGAGTCTTACAAAGGAGATTTTACTGTAGCCATTTAGGATTTTAAAATCCAAGCTTTTGTCAGAGGCCAGAATAAGAGATCACCTTAACACAAGCAGGGATTTGATTCACTAAGAAAAAAGAGAAGCCAGTTTCCACATTCTGAGAAACAGACTGAACACAAACATTCTCCCTAGTCTGTGGGTTTATAGATACCACTTACATGGAAAAATCAAAAGGATACACAATAACTATAATTTCTAGGTGACAAGATAATGGAGCCAAAAGGAAGAGAAGAGTATGAGTTTTAGGCTGGAGAGGTCAAAACCGTTGGTGAAATCCCAAATGATAGGCAGTTCCCAAGAGGTTCTTCCATGAAAATATGGTGAATACTTTGTGGCGTATATCTCTGCATGAATCCTTGTAGCAAACCCACTATTTTTGTTTGAGGGTTGGAATTACCAAAGTTCTTCAATGCTATTTATATTATTTCATTACTTTTTCCTATGGTGAGATTGAAAACCACCTTGAGACTCTAACTGGGTTCCAGGAGGTTTTTAATTAACACTGTTAATTATTAAAGGACAGATTTTAGCTTGAAATATGTAATTTAATAATAAAGAGTGTTATTCTATTCAAAGTCTACTTTTTTTAGTTGTGTACAAACTCAGAAGCTCTAAATGTCCACTAAAACACATGTAAATGCTTCATGACATTCTGTTTAAATGTTTGTAAAACATTTATCATTTCTTCCATGTGCATAGAATTTACATTTCTGGCTTCAATAAGTAAAAACTTTGATATGTGTAGTTGCCAAGTATTACCACCTTTGCAATCACATATTTTTTGGTGTTACCTTCTTTTTAAAGGATGTCAGGCTTGGCATATAATGGAGCTAATTAAATTTTTTTTCACAGGAAGCAGACAGCTAGCCTACTGCCCCAGGCACATAACCTTAGCTTACTACTTTCCCTCACTCATTTATTCTGTATTTTAGAGGAGACTCCTAGAACAGTAAAGGTAGAGTACTCAGGCCAGGCAGCTGCTGATGGATTTTAGTAACTGCAGAACCGGTGTTTGAGCCCCAACCCTGACAGCGCACATCATAGAAAGGTGACAGTAGTGGCACATCCTGCCGTATGAGTTGGCTGTGGATGACAAGCTGCCTAAAATAATGGAAGAGATATTGGTTTTATAAAAATGAACCAACTTGGCTTAGCTCTAAGGTATTTTGCAAGATTCTAGGAATGTCAGAGCATTATTCCCTGAGATTGTTTTTATGAACAAGCCAGAATACATAGAACAAAACAGAATCAAGTGGAAAATATTTAATTAGTCCACCTTCATCATTAAGCAATTTTGTCAGTCTTTATAGTAAACAAAAGAAATTATATGAAGAACAAATTTTTTGGCAGTCACTAGTTCCTTTACATGCAATACTATTCCTTTAAAAAAAAAACATATTTACGTATTTAATAACTGAAGAAACTAAAATCAAAGCAGTTAAACAATTTCCCAAAGTTGTCAAATGGTAGACCTGAAATTTAACTCAACTTTATTTGATTGTATAATCTTGACTCTGTCCATTATAACAAAGTTAATAATAGAATAAAACTTTTATGTTAAAAAAATGAAACATTTTAGGAGCAATTATTTAGGGAATGAGAGTGATTTATGTGCATTTCTACACCTGCATGTGTGCATGATGTTTTCCTTTTTTTAAAAAAGAATTATTTTATTTAACTGTATTTATTTATTTATTTATTTTTAATTTGATCAGAGAGGGATAGAGAGAGAGAGAGAGAGAGAGAAGAAAAGAGAGAAAGCAAGCCACCAAGTCCAGGACTTGAACTGTGGTTGGCCATGTGGAAGTCCAGTGCCCTTAACCACCATACCACCTGCTGGCCCTAGGTATTTTTCTTAAACTATGTTCTCTGAAAGGGAGAGCTTTTACTTGTTGTTCTTATAAAATTACTTATGCCTAATACATATTTTATTGAAACTAGTCTTTTTGGATAGAAAAGGCTTGGTGTTCCCCCCTACCCCCAGAAATAAGGAGATCCATTACAAAGAAAACAGTGAATATCTGAGCTGTTATGGTATTATATGATTTGGGGTACTGAAGAATTTACATGATTTTAATGAAAATCAAAGGAAAGAAGTTCATCTAAGTTATTATCTTAGAAGATTGAAAGTAAATCTATTTATGCATCAGATAAATAGATAAATGATCAAAAAATAGATAATTGGGAACCAGCAGTTAGCATAATGGCTATGTCGCTGGACTCCCATGTAGTCGACCGTGGTTCGTGTCCCAGACCCGGTGGCTTAAAACTCAGGCCAGGCACATGTGCGTGCGTGCCCAAGATCCCGAGAGGAGAATGGAGGAGAAGGGATTGCGGTATGGCCATTTCCCCCTGGGAGGTGATTTCTCTCTTTCTGTCTCTATGTCTCTCTCTGTCTGTCTGGTGAGTACATGTGCCTAATAGCAAAAATCTCTCTAAAAAAATAGATAATTGATGTAGATAGTTATATATGTGCAAATAAATGTACACATGAAATAAAAATTAACTCATTCATTTCTGGAATAAACTCAGTGACCCTTTTCAGCTCCTAAACATTAAATCTCTTTAAATTTCTGGTTGCATTGTGGAATAATAGCTTTTTTTTTTTTTTTTCTTACAGTTGGACAGTGTCACTTCCCTGATCCAAGCAGCCAAAAATTTAATGAATGCTGTAGTGCAAACGGTGAAAATGTCTTACATTGCTTCAACCAAGATCATCCGAATCCAGAGTCCTGCTGGGCCTCGGCACCCAGTCGTGATGTGGAGAATGAAGGCTCCTGCAAAAAAACCCTTGATTAAAAGAGAGAAGCCAGAGGAAACTTACGCGGCTGTCAGACGAGGCTCTGCAAAGAAAAAAATTCATCCAGTGCAAGTCATGAGTGAATTCAGAGGAAGACAAATGTACTGAAAACACTATTCTACTTTGGTGTCTATATTACAACATCCTGGCTAATCAGGATTTTGCTTTATATAGTGCTTGGTTAGTGCTGTGATTTCACTAAGTTTTGGGCTTTAACCCACAAATAACATAAAATATCGGAAGCTAAACCAACCAACATAAGCAATGCCTATTTGGGATGTTGTCACTGTCATCTCTGTAAGAACATTTCCTAATAGTTACTCAATACATGCTAGTTGGATGAATGAAAAGTGCAGGGATCATTCAGCTTTTCCAATCACAGGGAATATCATATTTGTTACCAAATGAGCATAGGAAGTACAAGTCCTATTCTGTGATATGCAAAAGTTTGAGTACACTCATCCTTTTCATTTTGAATTAATACACTAACAATGAGCACTTGACTTGGTTTTTGATAAAAACAGACGGCTTTATTAGTAGTTTCCTGTTTAATCCCCAGACTTTATCTGTTCTAACCTGACACCTAATCTGGAAGAAATGTGACTCCTGCCAGAGGAAGAAACTTCCACTCTGCAGGTATTGGTATTCATCGTCCAATGACTAGGCTGAAATCCATTATAAACTAACCAAGTTTGAGCAGTAAAACTACTTGCTAGACCCTGAAAGTCAGTCCTGATAATTAACAAAATGATTTATTAATACTACAAATATCATAGTGAATTTTGATGTGAGATATGCACCTTGTACTGTTCTGTGTGTCCACAAGTTCTGCATTTTTAAATGCTGGTTCCATCCGATTATGTATGCAGAAAAAGAGTTACCACCTAGTAAAGAAATGAGGCACCCGACTGTGTCCCGGAGTGAGTTATGATAACAGAAGTATAAGGAGTTCTGCATGACTCTAAAGACATATTTGTATCTGCTTTCAATTGTAATTAAAAGGAGAAGGCCAGTTTGAAAAACCTTTTGTCATCGAGTGAAATATAACAGTGCGATTCGTACCATTGAACTATAAAGCAGAGTTAATGGTGATGAAGCTAGAGTGATTTTAATAACATTCCTTTAAATAAAAGTCACTGGGGTCATTTTATATCTACTATGCTTTTCCTTAGTTGAGTTCAGAATGGACTTCATAATAATCTTAGAGTCTAGTGCACTGCTTCACTCTCCTCTTTTACTCTCACATTCTTTTCATGGTAGACTCATCATAAACTCTTAGAGGAATTAAGTTTGGGTTTGACTTTTTCTCACTTATAGGGTTCCCATTAACAAAAAATTTAACATTTATTTTCTATTCTACTTTATCATAGTAATACTATAATCATAACTTCTCATCGTACACATTACCATTGATTACTTGTTCCAACAATGACATTACCTTAGACTGATGAGGAAAAAATTCACAGATGTGTTATCAGCTGATGTTCGGGGGGTGGTGCATAAGAATGCCTAAAGTTTAGAGCATGATGTGTATTGTAGATATCTTGAGGAAAAGAGTATGGGAAAAGAAGGACCTAATAAATAGGCAATTAAAAATTGTGAAGGAAATGTTAACTTCCATTTATTGTACTGAATTATTTCATTTCTCCAAATTGCTGAATTATCTGGGTTCAGTGAAGAAACTTTGTAAGAAGTCAAAAAGCTCCTCACTATCTTGCACAATGGACTGACCCAAAGTAATATTCTAAACCAAGTTTACTCCCTAAAGGATAAGGTAGTGAGGAAGAGATTTAGGGAATCCAGATAACTACATTTTTCTACTGTCTAGAGAATTGAAGAAAAATGCTACCATCTTTTTCTGCTCTACTATAGACATTGAACGTGTGACATTGTACACCCTTCTCTTAGGTAGAATTGTGAATTTATAATTTAGTTGAGAAAATGACTTTTTAGAGAGAGAGAGATTTTTTTCTATAGGGCATATGTGCTTGCTGGAGAGACAGAGACACAGAGACAGAAAATGAGAAATCACCCCAAGGGGTGATGGCCATCCAGCATTCCCTTCTCCTCTTAGGAACTTGGGCATGCATGCACACTCAATCAGCAAGAGTTTCCATCTGCTGGGTCCAGGACTCAAACTGCAATCTAATAATTAACCACTTCAGCACTGCTGGTCCCCCCCCCCAAAAAAAAAAATATATATATTTTGCTACAAGGCACGTGCACTCACCAGACAGAGAGAGACATAGAGACAGAAAGCGAGAAATCATCCCCCAGAGGGGATGGTCATGCCACAATCCCTTCACCTCCATTCTCCTCTTGGGATCTTGAGCACGCACACACACGCGCCCGGTGTGAATTTTAAGCCACCGGGTCTGGGACACGAACCACGGTCAACTACGTGGGAGTCCAGCGACATAGCCATTATGCTAACTGCTGGTTCCCCAAGAAATTATTTTTTAAAAAACTCAGTGAACTACTAGTTTTAAAATCTTAGCAACTAAAACCACATGTATAAGAATTATAGATTCTCTGGGACCAGCAGTTAGTGTAATGGCTATGTTGCTGGACTCCCATGTAGTCGACACGGTTTGAGTCC